CCCAGATCTCACATTTCAGGTATCTACAGAAACCTCAGCAAAAGCCTCACATTATCCATTGTCTATGACTGGCCAGTCCCTGAGTCATCTGTAGTCGAAGAGCTAAGGTGTGTGTGTGTTAGTTGGTCAGTTGTGTCCAACTCTTTGCAACCCTATGAATCCTGCCAGGCTTCTCTGTCCATGCAATTCTCCAGGTAAGAATACTGGAGTGCACAGCCATTCCCTTCTCCAGGGGATCTTCCTGAACTAGGGATCAGACCCAGGTCTCCTGCATTCTTTACCATCTTGTCATTTTTCAGTTCATAGATTTCTTTAAAATTTGATGAACATTTCCTCATAAAAATACATACACATGTGATAATTTGCCCAGACGTCCATGGTCCCTGGGTTTAAAAAAAAAAAAAGTGATCGTAGATCTACTAAAGTTCTTTATTATAAAAGCAAGAACTTCTGCAATTTCACTGGGTTTTGTTTTGCTTTTGCTTTTAAGATCCTCTCTTGACTTTTTTGAACTTTTTCAGAAAATTTTAATGTGGTTATCTTAAAAATCACAGACTACCCATCATCTGTTTATTATAATGCTAATAATAACATAATGAGCCGAATTCTCTGAAGCAGGAAAATAGGGCCAGAAAGACCTTTCAGAAGGAAAATGTCTTTTGATGATCTGGGCTCTTATTTCTAAATATGGTGAGTTAAGCTGGAGGAAGGGCCTCCGTAACAGCTCATTGTTTTCTATCCTGTTAAAAAGCAGGTTTTATATAAGCATCAGTATGGTATCAGTATGTTGATATATAAGCATCAGTATGTTGAATCTGTTTTTAGCTCATACAAGAGAACCTACAGTAGTCCTTGTTCACTGAGTCAGGGACTCATAAGCCTTTAAAATCTGCCAATGGTCCATAGCATTCTCAGGAGACGTCTCCTCTAGACAGAATGCAAACAACAACAGCCAAGAAACTTGCTCGTACAGTGGAGTGACTCTGGGAAACCTACTGCTGACACTTAGAATGAGAAAACGGACAAAACGTTACAGAGTTGGTAAAATCAGCACCCAAAGTAAAGAGATTTTTCCCTTCTAAAGACAGGGCAGTAACTATCTAACTCCATCCCACTGGGTCACTAGGAAAAACAGGCTGGGGACTTCCCTGGCAGCCCAGGGGTTAGGACTCCATGCTTTTGCTGCTATGGGTCCAGGTTCAATCCCTGGTCAGGGAACTAAGATCCCTCAAGCCTCATGGCATGGCCAAAGAAAAAGAAAGATAAAATAAATGGAAAAACAGGCTGGCAAAGCTCAGTGCCCCCTGACAAAACAGATTTTAAGAAATTCTGGCAATGTCAGCCAGGCCTAGAAAGTGCTCCTCATCTAGGAAGGACAAAGCCCTAAAACTATAGATGTTTTGAAAATGATCTTCCCAGGTATCAATTATACTAAGCCAGTAATAAGAACATATAAACATCTAAATGTATCGTGTGTACATATATATACACATATATGCACATATATATATGTGTGTGTAACATGTAAGCATCAACATTTATTAGATAAATATGCTTGTAGAGAAGAAAATCAAAACACAATTAATAATTGCCAAAAGCCCATTTACCATGAAATACCAGCTATTTATAAGATTCTGTAGCAGTGTTTTGCTTTGGAAATAAAACAGTATAATTAACCTGGGAGAAAATAGTCTTTTAAATTAAGTATAATCTGCTTCTTGTGGCTTTTGTCAGGCTGAATGCCATTTCTCTGGGATTAATGGCTTTTTTCTTCCTATAGGATCCATGTCCCCTTTGTGATGAAGCCAAGGAAGTACTGGGGCCTTATAAAAACCGGGTAATATGATACACTATAGCTTTATGTATATGGAATGGATAGTATATGTAGTATAAGACAAAGCATCTGTCTGGATCCTTTCTTTAGGAAAAGATTCATTGAATGATTTTTCATTTAAATTTTCTTTCTGTTCTTTAGAGAGACTTTAGTGCTGATTTCCATAAAAGTCATTACACCTAAGTGTTTTTCTCTGAGCAGCATTGGTTTTCTTACTCTGTTAAAATGAGTTAAAGTTAACCAGCAGGTACAGTATTCATGCTTTAAGCTTTTGTCCCTGTTCCTTTTATGTTATTTTGTCATTTCCATGGAAGTGTTTCCAGCTGCAAACTGTGACACCTTTCCCAATCTTCCAGTCCAAACATGTCTTTCTTGAGTCTCAGGCAGCTTCCCAGTTGGGGGCATAGTTTATTTCATTTCAAATGAGTAGTAATGCTGAACCTCACAGATAGAACAGAAAAGTAGCGAACTGGAGAATTAAGGAATATAAAGAAATAAATCAGGTTGGGGAAATCAAGGTCATTAGATGACTGTGGACCTCAAGTAAACAACAGTAAAAAAAAATCTCTGAGTGTTAGACCTGGTCTGGGGATCAGTTTGTCACTATAACCATTGCATTGTTCCATGTTGCTGAAAAATAGAGCTTTACTCTGTCTCTGTTTCAGTTTATTTTACAGGAAGTAGACATCACACTTCCAGAAAACTCTGCTTGGTATGACAGGTATAAATTTGACATCCCCGTCTTTCATTTGAATGGCCAGTTTCTGATGATGCATCGAGTAAACATCTCAAAACTTGAAAAACAGCTCCAGAAACTTGAGCAGCAAGGTGCAAGAGGCTGACAAACACCCTCATGATTTTTCTACCTTCTCTGTCCAGAACGTGTTTTCCTGAGGAAATGACCGTGGCTTCAAACTCCTTTTGTCATTTTCACACAGCTCTACAGATGTTCTGAACTCAGTGGTGCCAGATAGTGATATTCCTCTTGTGATTAATGGAAGTACCAATGTGGGAACTGTTTATGTCCTGGCATTTTATAAAATAAGTGGAGTGTATTGGCAGGGAGGGGATAATGGAAGGCAGGAGAAATCCACTTGTTCTATTTATTTTACTCTTTTGTATTAATATGGAAGCATCTCACTTTCACTGGACAGAGCCGTTTATAAGAAGAAGGCTCTGTGTCCCTGCTGCTGCCCTAAGGGCTTAACTTTTTAATGAAAGAATAAATGTTCTTCCACTTGGTAGATAAAGTGAAATGTGAATTGCTAATAAGTGTACACAGTCAATAAAAGGATGTTTTAACAAATACATCTGCATGAAGTCTATTTCAGAGGAATTTAATAATACCTGTTTAAAATTAGAGCTCATTTTTTTGGACAGAAGAGAATAAACTATCCTAGCCAAAGACATTCCATTTGAGAAAAACAAAAGGCTTGAAGCCCAAAATGTATGTAAGAATTTCAACATATTTTATACATAGTCAGTGAACTGATTTGTAATATTTGAGTACTGCCTTTCATAGATTTTCAGTTATCATCAATTGAGTTAATTGAGCATATTTTAAGATAGTGGTTTTGTCAGGTTTTAATATCTTGGGGAAAATTCACATCTGACCATAACTGAACAGATATGTCACCTAAAGACAAAATATTCTTTACCACCTTATGTAAAGTATTAAAAATGTAGTTTTGTTCTCTTAATTTATAGTCAGGTTCAGCCAATAGAGGAATCAATTCATTTAGAAACATAACTGCCTTTTTCTCTTAAAATCACATCATTGCAATTTCATCTATAATGAAATTCTTTTGTGAACTATGTCAATGAATTTGGATATTGTGAGTCACTTAGCCGGATTTTAATTTTATCAGTATAAGTTAGTCTTAGAAATTAGAGAATTCTAAAGCTGGCCAATCTTAGACATTGTTTAGATCTACCCCCCTCATTTTATACACGAAAAGGACTCTGACATTCAGAGTTTCAGGAAGTTAACTAAGTCACACAGCCAGTCAGATGTTAGACTAGGTCTTGCCACGCACCCCACATCTCTAGTACCACCTGGGTGGGGGCCTTGTGTCCTCTCAGAGAAAGCATTCTTAACCATTCTGGACCAACACAAATTAAGAAACTTTAGAAACCTTCCAAAATAACAACAGGAAAAAGAAACCTTACAATTGAATGTCAGTGTTCCTAATTTATAAATTTTGGAACATATGTCATTTGATTTTATAAATACTCATTGAGCCCTATGGTAGACAAAATTCTAGGAGGACCCTAATGAACCATTTACCCTTGTATTCTCTCCCTTTTGAATATGGGTGAAACTTACAGATAGGATGAAATATCCCTGCTGTGATTATGTTACATTACAGGGCAAAAGGAAGATGAACTAGGGTGAGCCTGGTCTAATCAGGTGAGCCCATTAAAAGCAGCCTGGTTCTCTCTGGCTGGTTGCAGAAAATGATATCAAAGAGATTTGCTCCCTCTCTAGCTGCCGGCTTGCGTCCCCGCATGTGTGTGCCTAACCTCAGCTGATCTGCCCAAGACCACCTGAGCACCAACCCTAGTCCCATGCACGCCCCCATTTCCACTCCAAGAAGATGAAAGAAACTATCATGAATCAAGAGAAACTCACCAAACTGCAGGCACAAGTGTACATTGGTGGGAAAGGAACTGCTTGCAGAAAGAAGAAGGTGGCTCATAGAACAGCCACAGCAGATGACAAAAAAAAACAGTTCTCTTTTAAAGAAGTTGGGATAGACAATATCTCTGTTACTGAAGAGGTGAATATGTTCACAAATCAAGGAACAGTGATCCACTTTAACAACCCTAAAGTTCAGGCATCTCTGGCAGCAAACACCTTCACCATTACAGGCCATGCTGAGTCAAAGCAACTGGCAGAAATGCTCCCCAGCATCTTAAACCAACTTGGCGCAGACAGTCTGATCAGTTTAAGGAGACTGGCGGAAGCTCTGCCCAAACAATCTGTGGATGGAAAAGCACCACTTGCCACTGGAGAGGATGATGATGAACTCCCTGATCTTGTGGAGAATTTTGATGAGGCTTCCAAGAGTGAAACAAACTGAACTGAGTTAACTTCTGAAGAAAATAAATCTTGAAGAAGTTACTGGAAGCTGCTATTTTATGACTGCTTTTTAAAATTTTGTTTATGGATCTGATAAAATCTAGATCTCTTAATATTTTTAACCCTAAATCCCTGGACACTGCAGCTCTTTTCAGTTTTTGCTTATATACAATTCATTATTTGCAGCTAATTAAGCTGAAGAAGCCTAAGAATAAATTTGAAACAAAGATAAATAAAATTCCTTGCCTAGTGAAAAAAAAGAGAGAGAAAGAGAAAGATGTGCTGCTACCAGCCTGGAAAGAATCAGACATCAGTGTTGTGAACTGCCAACAAAGCAAAGAACTGGGCAACCTCTGGGAGCTGAGTAGTACCTGGCCAACAGCCAGTAGGAAAATGACATCAGTCCTACAGCTTCAAGGAGATGAATCCTGTTAACAATCTAGAAGAGGCCCATGAAACCCAGGTGAGAATCACAGCCCTGGGTTGTTTATATCTTGGGTTCAGCTCAGTGAGAATTTGATCAGAGAATTCAGCCACACCATGCCTAGACATCTAGGCATCTGATCTACAGACACTATGAGATAATAAATGTGTATTATTTCAAGTGCTAAGTTTGTTGTAATTTCTTACACAGCAATAGAAAACTAATAGAAGTCCTTACAACACTGAAGCTAAGTGGGAGGTGGTGGGAGTGTCTCGGGCAGCAGCAAGCGAGAGGCAAGTTAACGAAGAACTACAATGTAGCATTGTGAGAACTGGAGCTGAGACATGTGAAAAATGGTACAGCAGCCAGATGGGGAAAGTGGCAGGAAGACGTCACAGAAAATTAGACTTAAATTAGGTGAAGAGTAAAAGAGTGTGGAAGGGCATGGCATATTTAGAAAATGGCAAATGGCTTTGTGTGGCTGGCATGAAGGGGAGGGAAGTGAAGGGCATAAGACTGATGAAATAGATAGAGGTCCGCATTGTGAAGGACCTCAGGTAAGGTGGTGTTCTCCCTGCAGCAGTGCCCTCCCTTCCTCCCTGCCCTCGCCCAGAATCAGCCCCTCTGGCTCCTGAGTCCTCAGAGGTATCTGGCCTCTCTACTCCAGCCCTGCTCAGCCGCAAGCACGCTAAGCTCAGAAGTCCCCCGAGGAGCCCTACAGGACATCGACATCTTCCGTACAACCAGGGCTGAGGGGCCGTAGACAAGATTGCCCTCTCGTGTGTCTGGGCACTGTGTTCCTCCCTCCCTGCTCCAGGCAACTTGAAATCTACACGCCTGTGTCCTAGGACTGTTGATCCAAGAGCTTCAGGCTCTGCTGAGCTAAGAGGGAGAGAATCCACTGGTTCCCTTCAAAAATCGGGGCTGGCCAGAGACCCTGGAGGTTGTTCTCTTGGACCACTTTTTGCTTAAGGATAGCCCTGTAATCATAGGCGTGGAGGATCTGCAGGGACTTCATCCAAACAACACATTTCTGACATTAGGATTTCAAACAAGCAAACAAGAGAAAGGATATTTGGAGGATGTTTTAAAAGAAAAATATGCTCTCACTTCCCACCGAAGTAAAAAGTTGGGGTCACATAGTGTCAAGAACAAGGGACATAAGTGCAATTCATCAGAAAGCCTAATATATGTCCCTGGGTAGGAAGAACACAGTGATCTAGTTCCCTTTTGGACAATCACGTGAAAGAAGAGCTTTCAAGCATTTCCGGTGTGGAGTAAAGGAGGACAGCTGCTGCCCCAAGTTTGTCCAGGGAAGAAGAGGTAGGTGGGTGTATGTTCAGGGATCAGATGTGTGCCAAACGTGAGAGAAGGCTGGCTGGGGAAAGCCTTGGGCACAGGCAGGCCTCAGCGGAGGCCAAGCGGAGGGAGAAGACTGGTTCCTCGGGCTGAGGAAGCAGGTGGCTGCTCAAGTGGAGAGCGCATTTGCCTGAATCAAGGAAATAGCAGGTGAATGATACCAGCTAGGAGTGCAGCCTCCCACAGACCTGCAGAAGTCTCTGTGAAATGTCTGCACCACAGCCCCAGAAGGGTCAGAACCTGGCAGAAGCAGGAAAAGACCTTCTCCTTCCTCAGCTGACTGACGACACGTGCCTTCTCGCTGGGGTAAGACGTAATTTTAAACCAAGTTCCACATTATGCAACATAGGAATTGATGCACTAAAGGTGATTTAGAGTGACCAAGGATTTTCTGTGGCCTGTTGTTGTTCAGTCACTAAGCCATGTCCGACTATGTGACCCCATGGACTGTAGCACAGTCCTGTCCTTCACTGTCTCCAGGAGTTTGCTCAGATTCACGTTCACTGAGTTGGTGATGCCATCCCCTTCTCCTCCTGCCTTCAGTCTTTCCTAGCATCAGGGTCTTTTCCAATGAGTTGGCTCTTTGCATCACATGGCCAAAGTATTGGAACTTCAATTTCAGTATCAGTCCTTCCAATGAATATTCAGGGTTAATTTTCTTAGGATTGACTGCTTGCCTAAGATTTCTGTTGCCTAAGAATGCTCAAAATAGTCCTAACACTACCTAGTTTTTATTTTGCCCTAAACAGAGGAAGAAACTGCCAATGAATACATTTTATAGGGATAGAGGGAAACATAAATAAACATGCTTTCTAATTGTATTCCATATTCAGAGCATTGATTGCATGTACCTAATGTTTTTTACCGATAGATCTTCAATGAATTTAATTATGCTTATTTGAGAGAGGAATCCAGTCCTATGTCTAAGATTCCTGGAGAGCTTCAGTAATCCCTCTGGTCTCAACAGCTAGAAAATCGAAAGGCAATGCTCTGGAAGCATGTCATCTAATTATCGCACCATTGCTAAGCATCAGACAATGTTATGTCACTTATTATAGTCATTTTTGTATCATATTTGTAGCAGCAATTACTTTTCCTTTCTAAAATTATGTTTAGGGATCAATTTCTTGACTGATTTTGACACAAGAAGCTCATAATATTCTCCCACTCCCAGAGGAAATAGTGAAAAACCTTCTCTTTTTTTCCTAAACTAATGTTTAAAAATGAAGTGGAATGAACACTGGGTTTGGGACTGCACATTGCTGCTTTTGGTTACAGCGCTGCTTTCTTCCAGATGTCTCATCAGAACACGGTAAAGGCTTACTGGAACACATAACTCTTGGGCCAATTTATTGAAGGAAACAGAGGTTCACTCAGACTAGGGTTGTTGGTTTGTTTATAATAATGTCACGACTCCTGAAACTCTGACAATAGGAATGAGAGTAGGGACAGGCCCCGGGAGTTACTCTTAAAGAACCACCAGGCTTTTACAGAGATGTAATGTACAACATGATAAATACAATTAACAGTGCTGGATGTTACATACGAAAGGTGTTAAGAGAGTAAATCCTAAGAGTTCTCAGCACAAGAAGAACATTTGTATTTCTGTAGTTTTTGTATCTATATAAGATGATGAATATTCACTAAACTTATTGTGGTAATCACTTCATGATGTATGTAAATCAACATGATTCTGTATGTCAACTGTATCTCAGTAAAAACTAGAAAAATAAAGCACTGGATTAACATCAATCTTTAAAATTGTATTAAACATAAATGATTTTTTTAAAAAAAGGATAGTAAAAACTGAGGCAGCACCCTGCTCACAGTGCCTCAGCTTCTTTCTTTCCCTGTTCTCATCTTGCTCACTGGCTCCCCTCCTTAGGTACAGTATCTGCTTTCTCATAACTATAGCTTGCTCACACCCGTCATTCCAACTGACCCTTCTATTCAGCAATGCAGTGATCCCAGTCTCTCAGCTTCTCTAGTCTAGAAGTTCCTCCAAAGAAGGAACTTTACCAGCTTGTATTTTGCAACCAGCCACTCAAGTCATATGTTGGCTGATCAAGCCTATAGCAAGAACCACCCTTGGATCAGGTACCCATCCCTAGCCCAATCAGCTATGGGGACCAAGATCATGTGATGCAAATTATAGTCACTGCCCACTCAGCAGAGACTGAGAGCATGACTGGGGATCAGCAGCTCTGGTACACAAGCAAAGAGTATGTCATTCTACCATATTCAGGAGAAGTCAAGAGGAACAGTTTGGTAAGTTCATTTATCTCCTGCTTGTGGGAGTGACGAGGACTTGAACCATGGCAATGCAAGTTAGACAGAAAGAGATATCAGGAGATATTTAGCAGTCAGGTTGACACAACTTCATGACTGACTGGAGCGGATAGGGGAAGAGTGAGCAGAGAGAAAGTATGAAGTCTGGTATGGTTCCCAGTCTTCGTGCTATGGCTATTAAGTAAATCCTGGTACTTCCCATTCCCTAAGAGAGAGTATAAGGGGAAGGGGAGGTTAGTTTTTGGTGGTACTTGGTGGATGGGAAGGATGGGACATGGGGAATTTGCCATGCTTGTGGGAAATCCAAATTAAAGATTAAAGTTGGAAGTTCAAATCGGAGGTCTGGGCTTGTACAGATTTGGGAGCCCCCAGGATATGGTTGAATGTGGTTGGGACTGCATCTACCTGGCATGCAAGGAGAAAAGTAGACTAACACCAAGTCCTGAAGGGAACACCAATCTTGACTGAATGGGTAGAGGAAGGACCACTGAAGAAAAATAAGAATGAGACGTGATAGAACTATGAGTGGGAAAGTTCATCCAATTTGTATTATTCAATCTCTTTCATAGTAGTAGTATGTAGTACTACTATCTCTTTGATAGTAGTAGAGACTATTCTAATCACTGGGGATAGAGCTTAGAAACAAGAGAGCCTAGATTTCTACTCAGGAGCTTGCATTCTAGAAGGAGAGACAAAATAATATCAAACAAGAAGAACAAAATAACCCATATATTGAGGTCAGAGGAGCAGTTTTTCCCAGAGTAACTGACAGTATCAAATGTCATTTGAGCAAGGATGGGAATAAAAAGAAGACACTGGGTTTGAACATTAGGAAATCAATGCTACAGTAGTTGAAAAACTGGCCTCCAAATACCTAGTAACTAATCCCTGGAATCTGTGAATGGTACCGAATATGGAAAAGGGACATTGAAGATGTCTTAAGGATCTTGAAATGAGGAAATGATTGTGGACTATCCATGTGGGTTCTAAATATAACCCCAAGTGTCCTTATAAAAGGCACAAAGAGAGGGATTTGACTGCAGAGAGGAGGTAGGAAATGTGCCAGTGAAAACAAGAGGTTGGAGTGATGCAAGAAAGGGGCCCTAAGCCAAAGAATGCAAGTGGCCTCCAGAAGCTAGAAAAGGCAAAGAAACAGATTCTCCCCTAGAGACTTCAGAAAGGGCAAGTCCTGCCAGCCTCTTGACTTTAGCGCAGTTAAACTGATTTCAGACTTCTGGCCTAGAGAACTGTCACAGAATAACCTTGTGTTGTTTTGAGCCAACAACTCTGGTAATTTGTTACAGGAGCAATAAGAAACTAATACAAAAAGGTAACTTGACCTTACAGAGAACAATTTTGGTGG